CGAGTCGCTCCAGACGCGTCTGCGCGAGCTGCTGAGGTATGGTACACGCCCCGCGCTCGCTCCCTCCCCCCGCTTCTTCTTCTGCTGCTGCTGCTGCTGCTGCTTGCTGACCAAACAACACGCACCTTCCTCCTTAAAAAAAAAAAAAAAAAAAAAAAAAAGCGAAAAGCGGCGCAAGCTCGAGTCCCCTTCGGGCCACTACCACCGCGGCCGCGACTGCCAGCACGCTGCGACGACGACGTGCGCCGAGAACGCCGTGCGCGGCTGGGTGGAGTCGTTTGCCCTCGCGTACGGCGTCAAGTACGCAGTCGCGTTGGTGCCGGCCGTCCTTGGCGGGCGCGTCGCAAAGAGGTGAGGAGGAGCGAAGAGGCGAAAAGAAGACGGAAAAAAAAGACTCACTGTGATAATAATCCCTTAAGGCCGTCGGTGTTGCTGGATCTTGGCGGGCGCGACACGGTCTCGTTTGCGCTGTTTGCCGCCGCGTTCGCCTCGGGGTACAAGGCGCTGCTGTGCACCATCCGGCGAATCGTGAGAACTGAACACCCCACCCTTAATCCAAATTCTGTGCATCTGACACCGCCCTCCAGCGCGACAAGCCCGCCGACGCCCCCGCCGCGTTCCTCGCGGGAGCCGCCGCCGGCGGCCTCTCGCTCTTCCTCGACACAAACAGCTCCCGCCGGCTCATGATCGCCCTCTACCTCACAACGCGAACCGCGCACTTTGCGTGCCGGTGGCTGTGGATGCGGGTCGTGCGACGGTACGCGTTCGGCCGCGCATGCGAGTCGGTTGCCGGCGTCGCGGAGATGCGGGAGCGGGACCGCGAGGCGGAGGGTAGGGGCAAGCCGGGGGAAGCGGCGGCGGCGGCAGCGAAGACGAACACTGTGGCGGCCACGGAGGATGAGGAGACGGCTGGGGAGAGGACGGCGCGCGGGTGGGTGAGGGCGGCGATGGGGGCTGCGATCATGATGGCGTCGAGCAGCCAGATCTTGGGGGCCTACTTTTTGGCGCCGGAGTCGCTGAACGTAAGAATTTACCCCCGCCTTTTTTTTTCTTCTTTTGTTCGTCCCGCTGACCCCCCCAACCCCTCAACCCCCGACTAACCGCGGCCCACTGCGCAGCGCTCGTACCTTTCGTTCCTCCTGACGCACGGCGGCTTCCGCAGCCTCGTGCCAGGCGCCGGACGCGAGTACCACGCCATGGTCAGCGAGTTTACCAAAGCCGCGACCTCTGGGCAGCTTCCCAGCGCGCTGCTGCCGTCATCGCCCTCGTCGGACCACGGCGCCGCGCTCGCCGCGGCGATCCCCGAGGGCTACCCGACCGCGCTGGCGGCGCCGTTCGCGGAGCTGTTGATGGGCGGTGCGGGAGGGACGTCGTCGCCGGAGGGCCGGCGGATGGTCATGTGCGGCGTGATCCACCCGCGCGAAGCCACGTGCGAGCAGTACTTTGTCGGCGAGGTCGGGAGAGAGTGGGGGAGGGCCGTGGCGCTGTACGGCCCGCTGAACGTCGTTGAGTAATCTTTCTCGTTGCTGTTCATTTTTCATTTCCCCTGCTTTTTTTTTGATTCCCGATTCCTGCTCGGGCCTGCTTACCGCACCCACCTCCTTCCGTGTCAGGTCATGACGCTCCTCACCCGCAGCCCCGCCCGCCTCCTGGCCGCCCCGCTCCGCACCCTGCGCTCGCTGCTCCTCTCGACGCTGCGGTCCTCCGCGTTCCTGACGCTGTACTGCACCAGCGGGTACTACACGCAGTGCGCGCTGCGACGGCTGGCGGGGCGCGACGCGCGGTGGATGTACTACGTGAATGGCCTGGTTGCCGGCGCGGCGGTGATGGTTGAGTCGCCTGGGAGACGGCTCGAGCTCGGGCTGTACTGCCTGCCGCGCGCGGTCGAGAGCTTTTGGAATTGCGGCGTTCAGTGGGGATGGTGGCGGAACGTGCCGTGAGTGTTGAAAGGCGGCGCCACTCTTTCTCCTTTTTTTGACGTTGTTGGACTAACTCACGAACGGCAGCGGGGGCGAGGCGATCTACTTTAGCATTGCGACCGGAGTGCTGATGGCGCTGTACCAGATGGACACCGAGACGATTCCTCCTGGGTAAGCGAACCAGCCCATCCGTCTCCGGCGAAGTATGTACTTCTTTCTGAACCATCTCGCCTCCATACACATACGCGCATTCACCCCGCACACATCTCGACACGCACTCCCGCTCGCTCCGCAACGCAGCTACCGCAAAGTACTGTATAGGCTATTCGGAGTAAACTAGTTGCCCATGTTTGCCACACCCTTGGCACAGCGGCAAAGTTCTTTTGTGGTTTGTTTCTTCTGTAATTTGTTTGGACTATCCCTCTTCCTCTATGTCGGTCGCTACTTTCTTCTTTCCCCACTGTTACGGTGGCTCTCTCTTTTATGTTGTTTTGTGAGTGACCTCTTTCTTCTCTCTTTGATTGGCTTTTGGTCGCTTTTTGTTGCATCGCTAGAGCGAGCCTGTTTCTCTTTTTTCTCTTGATTTCTCTTCGTAGTTAAATATAGTTGACTGCACCAAAAATAACATGACGGACGACAAACCGGCAGACAGACCAAAGGGCAGAGGAGGACAACTGACTGCGGCGGCGGGCGGTCGTCGTTGCGTCAGTGCGCCGCACCCTGCCGCCATCGCCGCCAAGTTCTTCCGTCACCCCTGCCTCCGCATACAAGCTGTCGACGCTGCACTGACACGCCGCAGCGCAAGCGACCGCGGTGACCGAGCTCCCGTGAGGCAACAATGACCGCTGCCGCAACGTCGCAATCCTCGAGTTCCGCCGGCAGCACACGGCGCCCGCCCGGCTCGCGTCCACACCTGGCTCGCTATGGGCACCTAGACATATCCATCTAGGCCCTACTTACTGAAAGTGGGGCCACTATCAAGTCCACACTATCAAGTTCACTATCAAGTCCATTAATGAGTCCATTTTGTGTCTCCTTAATTGTTTTTTGAGCTCTTAGTATCTGGTCTGAATCCAGCCACAGATTGATTGGAAAATAACCCAGAAATGAAGATCAATGCGGAAAGCGCTCCCTGGCCAGTAAGGCTCAAAACGGGATAGAGCAGGCCCACTTCCTGCCAGCCATGCCTTCTACCAGAATCGAACTGGTGACCTTCTCCTGCCGTCAGGATTCACTCCTGGTACTAGGGAGACGCTCTGCCAACTGAGCCAAGAAGGCTGTATTTCGGCCTTCCCCGCTGCATTATTTGAAATTAGGACAATGTTCTTGTAGTTGCCATTGTGTAAATATCGTACTGGGGAAAGACTCTGATTGAATTCCTTCTCGGTATCCATTATCCTTCATAGATACACTGCCTTGATGAGCGGCTAAGTGCACGCTATTATTAAAAGGGGGTTGTGTGAGGATGGGGGCAGATGGCCGAGCGGTCCAAGGCGCTACGTTCAGGTCGTAGTCTCGAGAGAGGCGTGGGTTCGAATCCCACTCTGCTCATTTCTCTATCTGTTACTGCGATATCCTGAAAACCTTGGTGAGTGACCCACTTGCAAAGTTGAAATCAATACTCCTGCCAGTGACTGGACAGCAGACAGACCTGCCAATACAAAGAAATGACTAGTTTGTCAGCATTTTGTTATTTCTGGCAATTGTTCAGCTGACAGTCTCTGGCCCTGTCTCACTCACCAAAATTTTAAGATATCTCTGTAAATAATTTTGCCCTCATGTCTCTGTTGGATGTCACCATTGGTGTCAAGTCGCTTCAGATCAAAAAGTCTGCGCAATTGGAGCCCCACAGTCCCATTTTCTTTTCTTAAGGGATCACCTGCCCATCAAACCCTCCCCCACCTCCCAATTGCGCTGCAGACACTTAATCCACTGTGCTTTGCCTTCATTTGAAGGCTTTTGTAAGTTTATTACTTATGGTTTGCTCAATGCCACTGTGTTGTCTGTCACACCCTGGAGCCTGATGTAGAACCAGTGGGTTTGTTTGTCTGTCATGTCCACAAATGCAGCACTGCTGACATTTGCGGTTTCACACTACATTTTGTCACTGAGCTCAAACTGACCCTAAATGGGAGTAGTTACTTTTGCCTCAAGGTTTCTGGCCTTCCACAACCAGCTGCAATCTTTGAATCCAAAATTGTCTGCTGGACCAGCTCTTTCCCAGTCGCCAGGGACCGTTCCTGGGGTGAGATCTTTGGTTGAATCCAGCTATAGTGTCGAGCAGAGGGGAACTACAGCATAGATCCAACTATCGTAATCACAGGGTTTGTCATGGCAGAGGCTAGCTGTGAATCCAGTAATGAATATAGCCGTCATCCAAAAAACCACAAATTGTTGGCGTAAAGCAATTTGGTCAGAGGGATACTGGGCATGTTAGGGATGCAGGCTTGCCACTTTGGACACTGGGGAACATCCCAGGACCCAATGCATTAGGTGATGTAATGGCGGTATTAGGCACCCCAGGATAGGCAGTCAAGTGATGTGGGAGCAAGTCCTACGTCTGTGGGAAACACACAAAAAAAAAAAAAAAAAAAAAGAAAAAAAAAGAGAAAAACCACCACACTTATCAGTCCCAGCACAAACAACAAAGGGTTGTGGTCAAACACCAACCCAAAGTGGATATCTGCTTCTGGATGCAGGTAAGGTAGAGATGGACAAGGGTTGCGAACCGACTTGCAGACATTTGGCAGATAATGATATAAGCAGACGCAGATATCAAATTTGACTGTGTATATCCGCTTGCATCCAAAGAAAAACCTGCTGATATCTGCTGTATCTGCTGGTGTTCAAGCTTTTGGAGCAGAATGTGCAGATAGGCAATTGCACCAATACTCTGCTGCAGAAAGGCGGGCATAGTGACGTGGACTTGTTCAGGAGTCGTGCTGGTGCACGATTAGTGAAAGGTTGTCAACTGCATCACTGCCTGAAAAAAGACATGAATCTGGGGCCAGTTGCTGTTGGGGCGCTTAAGGCAAATCTGTAAAGAGCATTTTAGCGTAATTTACCTTCGAATGAGGCGGAGGGTTTGTGGTCTAGTGGTATGATTCCTCCTTCGGGTGGAGGAGGTCCTGGGTTCTTTTCCACATTCAATTAGTGGCACCGGGCTGTGGGGGGGTGCGGGAAAAGGGA